TTATTTCTAAAAATAATTAATTTTTTTTAACAACTCAAAAATACATTAAAAATATGATATATAGCATATAGTACAAAAAAAGTGCAAGTAGATTACCAAACAAAATCTATTATATTTTGTCGATTGGCTAAAAAAAATTTCGCCCCACTGTGCAGCGCTGCGATGAAGACTGACAGGTAGTCAAAAAAAAATGCCGCGGCTATTCCAGTCAACAGGCTGCGGAATATATAAGTTCTAGCAAAAAAAGCAGTTGATCGCAGAAACATGCTTAAGCTCAGCCTGATTGCTTGGCTACTCTGCTCACTGACGTGGCGCACCACGCCCACCAGTTGCCATCGGACACAGCCACCGCCGAGCGTGGAGGAACTGCTGGCCAATCGACTGCACAGCTATATGGACCTGACGGCGCGACCTTGCGAGAATTTTTATCAGTATGCCTGCGGCAACTGGCCATTGCAGCAGATGGAGCAGCCACCGGAAACCCAGCAGATGGCAGAGCAGCAGCAACAGTTACATCAACGGGAGCAAAAGGAGCAGCTGCAGCCGAGCGACACGCTGGCCGTGCTGGATTATGCATTGAATCGCCAGTTGGAGCAGTTGCTGCGGCGTGGCGTCAGCAATGACAGCAGCACAGAGGACGAACAGCTCCTTAGCATCCATGAGAAAATGCATAATTATTATCGCGCGTGCAAGCGCCTGAAGCCGTATAATCTAAAGAAATATCTGCAGCTGTTGCCGCCAAGCAATTGCACGGGCTGGCCGCTGCTAAGCCGGAAGTGGAGTCCGGAAACATTTAGCTGGCTGGCGACCATCGGACGCCTGCGCTCATATGGGCTCAATGGCGTGCTGCTGAAGGAGGAGGTGCTGCCGCGCTGGGATGACGCCAGCAGCTATGCAATTAATTTGGATAAGCCCAGCCAGCAGGAGACCATTCCAATGGGCGAGGGCGCCATTATAGAGCTGCTGCTGGACATTGGCCAAACGAAGCGCGAGGCCAATGTGCTGGCCCGTCAAGTGGATTTCTTTGAGCGGCAGCTGCATCGCTTGCAGGACATCGAGGACGACATGGGCAACATGGAAACTGAGCTGTGCTATTTGGCCGAGATCATGCCGCAGTTGCAGTGGACGGCCTTTATCCAAGAGCTGCCCATAAATGCAACTGCCAGTGAGCTCGAGCGTCCGCCAGCGCTCCTGATACAAAATGTGCCCTACATGCGTGCCTTGGACAAGTTCCTGAGGCGCCACAAGCCGGAAACCGTCTGCAACTACATCATGCTGAAGCTGCTCGCATTCCTCAAGCAGCAGGGGCCGGCGGAGATCTCACGCGTGGAGTGTGTGGCTAGCCTGAGGCGAGCCATGCCATTGGCTGCCAGCCTGCTGATAGGCCAGAGATTCCATGATCCTAACTCCGAGCCACTGGTGAGCGAGATCTTCGGACGGTTGAAGCGTCGCTTCGGTCAGCTGATCAACGAGAATCGCTTGCAACTGAAGCAGCCAATCCTGAGAGTTTTACAAGAGAAGCTGGACGCGATGCGTTTGCAGCTGGGCTTCTTGCAGCTAAACGAGACCAGCTATGTGGACGACTACTATGAGCCGGTGCAGATGGGCGCCCAGAGCTTCTATGAGAATCAGTTGGCATTGCTGAGGCTGCGCGTCGAGCGCAACCACCAGCTGCTCACCATGGGCAATCAGTACAATGGGAACAACGTGAGCTATCTAACCGAGCGCGAACTGAGCAGCAGCCTGTCGCCGTTCTTTGCGCTGCCCAGGAATCTGGTGCTGGTGCCGTACGGATTCCTTCAACTGCCCATTTGGCATCGCAACATGAGCGAGCTGCAGCAGCATGCGGTCCTGGGCTTCATACTGGCCCACGAGATAATTCATGGCTTCGATAATCATGGCATTCACTACGACAGTGTGGGCAATCTCATGGGTCCCAGCGAGGAGATCTGGGCCAGTCCGCGCTACAATCAGAGCATCAATTGCATTGAGCAGCACGTGGCCACCGGCTCCAAGTCACTCAGCGAAAAGATCGCCGACTTCGAGGCGATGCGCCTGGTCTATGAGACCTACTTTGGTGAGAAGTTTTCGATAGATCGCAAAGAGCCACGGGATCCGCTATTGCCACAATTCAGTCAACGCCAGCGATTCTTCATCAGCTTCGCGCAGTTTTTCTGCGGCAAGCAGCAGAGTCTGAATGCACAGCATCTGGAGCACGCCGTGGATGAGCTGCGGGTACTCCAAACCCTGGCCAATTTCGAAGAATTCTCCCGAGAATTTGGCTGCGAGAAACGGACCAAGATGCAAGCTAAGAAGAAGTGTAGGGTATGGTAGAGTCGAATATTTATTATAGCTGTAGAAATATAATTGGCAAAATCAAATACAATTATTTTATTTTATTTTATTTTTTTAATGGATTGTCTCTAAGGTAATTTACCTCTACTGCATTGAACTATTTTTTATGTAAATTAAATTATTTTATACTTTGATTCTTCTGCAATTTTACCATATTCGACATTTGTTGGCCGGATGCATATTATCGTTATCCTGGCGGCAGCCGTACGCTTCGGCAAAGGGCGCAAAGTTAATTAGGACCTGCCTCAGGCGCATTTCATCCGCATCGTGCCCCTCGAAAGCATCCGGCGATGCATCGCCACAGAAGAACTGCGCCACGTTTAGGAAGAACAGCTGCTTTAGGGAGAGTGTCGAGAACGAGGGCTGCGACTGATCGAATTTGGAGTCGCTGTCAAAGTAGGCGTCATAGGCCAGACGTATGCCCGCAATATCAGCCTCGCGCTCATCCATATATTCAGTTTCATTACGATTTAGGCAGCTAATCGCCGACGAATAGTTGTCTTCCAGAGGAATTCCTGCGCCCAGCTCATTGTAATTGCCTCGGAAATCATACACTAGACCACCCGAGACAAAGCCATGCATCAGCTCATGGCTCAGCATGAAGCCCAATAGGCTGACCTTGAATACATCATGCGAGTCCTGGTAGAAAGCGGGCCGCTGCAGTATGCCATAGGGCACAATAATGACATTCTGGCGCAGCATATAGTAGGGCGTCGAGCTCATGCCCGTATCTGAATCGCTGATATAAAAGTAAGTGCTTATGTTGAATGCTCTGTCCAGTTGCTCGAACCAGCGACGTGTGCGAAACTCCAGCAGACGCAGGTGATCCGCTGCGTAATCTCGATTCCCAGCCAGATGCAAATCGGCATAGAACGCATTGACGAAGCTCGATCGATCCACAGCCTGAGGCATGTTTCCAATGTTGATGGTGACGTTGAGCAGCTTGGTTCTCACCAGATCCAGTGCTTGAGGAGCCAGATGCAGATTGTTCGTCTGAAGAATCTTCAGGAACTGCTTACGCAGCACCTCAAACAGTTCCGCTAGGTTGCTCTGATGCCTGCGCAGACGGTCCGGCAAAATGAATCGCTGCTCATATAGAAGATTTGTGGCCAGCTCCATGTTGCGACGCACATCCTGCACGCAGGCGATGGGCTCGTTGCTCTCCATGCTCTCCTCCTGCAAATACGATACGAAGCGCAACATGATATAGCTGGCGATGACCTCACGATCCGTGTCCTTGATGAGTTCCTGAAGCGCTTTCAGATAAGGCACACAATCGACATACACCACAAACTCAGCGGGCACGCTACGGCCCAGTAGTATCTCAAAATACTTGCGCCATTGTCCCCCGATTTGTGCTTCAAGCTCCTGTACAGTGAGATATTCATCGGCTTCGTCATTTTCATCGGGCTGTCTGGCAGCGAGTGCAGCTACCTTTTGCTCCAGGACCTTAATCTCATGGGCCAGACGCGTGGCCTGCTGAGGGCTGGTACCCAGCATGCGTAGCATTGCCTTGGTTCGTATTCGGCTTCCGAGTCGCTCGTTTTCCTCCTCAAAACTTGGCGTTTTCAGGTGTATAAGGTAATTGCTACTATTCGTCAAGTCTGGCAATACATTGGAGTCAAAGAGCGCATTTTGTAGGCCATAGCGTTGCAGACGGGCCAGTGTTTCCATCCAATGGAACTTGCTGCGGTCCCAGGCCTGTGATCTGTTCTTGAACTGCGGCCAGGGTATTTTCTCGTTTGGCGGCACCAGAGCCAAATAATGTTTACCAAGGCGAGTCGAGCCCGATGCCAACTGACAGGTCTTAAAGAAGCTCAAGACCTTCGCCTGCACACTGTCCGGCTGCAGCGATGATTGCTGCTTCTGCAGCTCAGTTAGCAGCATTAACAGCTTCTCGTTCACCTTCTGATCAATCAGCCCAGTTATTTCCATAAAGCTGTCATTCTCGTGCCTTTGGGCCCAATTGCCGCAGGCATAGCTATAGTAATCATGGCACGGCGAAGCACTCACATTCACATAACTAAGTATCTGAGTCAATAGCTCTGTGTTAGCGTTGGCATCGGCATTGGCATTGGCATTTGATGCATGACTACTTGCACTTGCCAATAGCAGCAAAAATATTAATCGAAGAACACAGAACGTTGTCGTTGAAGTCGACATTGCTTTTGGCAAACTGATTTCGTCGATTGTTTGTGCGGTATATAAAAGCTCGTTCTTTTTTATATATAATCAGCAGCAAATACTACAGAAAGATTCTCTGTCCCTCTCTGTTGCTCTTTTCCATTCTCTCTCTCACTCCCTATCTCTTACTCTCTCTCCCTCTCTCTCTTACTATCTGTTGCTCTCTGTCTATGCGTAATGTGGTATAATCAATACTATAGCACATTGCTAATTTTTCGCCGGCTCTGAGAAGCCAATGCAGTATGGGAAAAAAATCCAAATTATCGGGTATTAATTAATAACTTGAAAACTAAGCCAGATTGTTTGATCCGGTTTTTTTTTTTTTTTATTATTATTAATATGTATACCATTAAAAATAATTAAAATTTTTTGCTACAAAAAATTTTTTTTAAAAGAATTTTGCTTGTTAATACTTTAGAATAACAATTTCAATTGAAAGCAATCGAGCATTAAAAAATCGAAAGTGATATTCTGCATTTTCGAGTTCCAGATCAGCCAGAAATATATAAATAAACTTCGAAAAAACGACTAAATACCCGAAAAACGGCAAAATTCCCCATAGTGCAATGTACGTTGAAACAAATCGAATGAAATATGTCAATTATAATTCTGATAAGGAGAAGTTCACAGTTTAACTATATAAATTATATTACTAAGACACAACCAATCCTATTTCATGTGTTCTATATGTTACTTTGAATGTGTATTATATTATTGGGAACCTATATTATCATAGGATTCGTACCTTCATTATGTAATTCTAGGGTTATATATATACTTTTCTAAATATTTTGAATCACTCCACTAAATTAACTGTTTCTCTTTTCATTGGTTTTATATAAGAGAAAAACTTACTTGTATTTGGGTGACTCAGTGATCATTTGTTCGTTCTCTCGCGTCCAGTAATTGAGCGAGGTGGGATTGGCTTCGATAAAGCACTCCAGCGTAACATTAAATCCCATGGGAATGCCGACCAGCTGGTGCGGTATCCAGACCATTGGCGAAACTGCAATTGCGATTCGAGAGAGGATAGGGTATATGCATATATTGGGTGTATCGGCTCATTCAACAAACTTACAGTCCACGCTGACTTTGATGCGCTTGGAGACGCTGGGCGGCACACCGTTTGAGGCAATGCAGAGATAAGCACCCATGTGCAGGCGCGAGATGCGCTCCAATTCCAAAGAGTCTGTCTCCAGGTCATTCACTGCAAGAACATGAACGGGCCATAGAGTTCACGATTTGATGTGAGTTTCGTGGCAGTCGGTCGGTCGGACTTACCTTCGAGCGTCTTGTTGATGACAATTTTATGGTTGTCATCCCGTTTCCATTTGATGGATGGCTCTGGGCTGCCTTTCGCCTTGCAGCGCAGTGTGACATTGTCGCCCTCGCGCACAATGACATCGCTGGAGGTCAGCGCATCGTCAATATTGGGTGGGACTGCAAGAAGTGTGGCGGGCCAAGGAAATGGATATTATTATTCCTGCCAGCTAAACATAAACTCAAAAGCGAGCAGCACTTGATTTAAATGCAAAAACTTTTGCATTTTGGCAAACAGCGTTGCCAAGAAAGTGGAAACGGCTCAAGCCAACAAAATCTAACTAAACCGGAGGCCAACGGCTCATAGATACACTTGTCGATTGTGAAATAACACAAGTCCTATCTACTTGTTTGGTATTAGAAAAAAAGTATTTGTATAGTTGTGTAATATATGATGATAGTTTACATGATGTTTAACAAAATTTTCATTATGAAATGATTTTTAAATACAACATATAATATAATATAATATTTGTTTCAAGACTTAAAAAAAAAAGAAAAAAAAAATATTGTATACATTTCACAGAGCCATAAATTGTTGAAATTAATCTCAGTACCCAAGGTCTGATGAGCACAGCAATGCCTAAGCAGAGAGATAAGAAATGTCTGAGCAAACAATACGCCAAAGTTCGGTTACGCTTCGGGAAGTGTAGAAAAAAGCATTTCACGCATTGTTGACTTTGACGCGCTGATTCAACTTTGTCCCAAGAGATATTTTACTTTAAGCCTAATTAGCTTTGCGACAAGACTTTAGCCAGGCTAACTTTTGGGGCGAGTCTGTTAATTTAAAAATCGATGCTAGAACCTTCATCAAATTGTCATCAGCCTTTGGGGGACACCGTTGCGCTCTGGTTTTCAATTGCTGGCTGAACGCTTCTGTCAAACCCTTTTTTTTTTTTTTTTTTTGCGTTTCTTTGCTTTGGCCTTCAAGCGAAAAATCTGTAATGTTTTTTTTTTGCAAATCAAAGCGCACAAAGCTAGAAGCTAAGGATTTGACTGGACTTTTTTTTTTACAAACGGACCCAAGCATACCGGGCAAGAGAGAGAGAGGGAGAAATTTTTTTTTTAAGAGAGAGAGAGAGAGAGAGAAAGAGAGAGAGAGGGAGAGAGAGTTTTTTTTTTGGGAGATAGACTTCTAGCTAGACATATGGACCTAAACTGTCGTAGTTTTTTTTTTCCGCTGCAGTTTGTCTCATTTCATATTCAGAGCGGTGTCTGTAATCAAAAGATATCGCATGCAATTTTTTCATTTGGGCTAAAGTCTGGACATGTCCTGTAAGTCACGTGCGCGACGCGTTTAGTTGTCGTCTGATATCTGATGTCTGCTATTGACGCGTCAACCAAGATATCTGGTGTCCAGACGCCCAAGCAAATCAATAATGCGAGCATTATGTCATGTCGATTTCAATCGTTTGCTAATTAAATACGGAATCACAAGCATATATATTTTAATAAAACCTTTCATATTTTACAAATTATAATTATAATATTTAACAGCTGAATATAAATTGAAAATCCCTTGTGTATTATTTGCAACATTATTTAATCGATTATTGACAACTATTTAAATGATTTGCAATTGAATTTTTGTTTGTAGTTATACTCATTCACGAATGTGAATTAGTATATTGGTTTTATGCAATGTCCGTCTTGCTATCCGTCCGTCTGTCCGTCTGTCCGTATGAACGTAATCTATTTCGGCGCTATTAAAGCTAGAGACTTGAAATTTGGATACATACTCGTATATATCTCCGATTTATAAAGTGTTTAAATTTTCCCGATCCGCCCACTAGGGGCGTGGCAAACCGCAGAAGTTGATATCTCCTAAAGTATAATAGCTAGAAGCTTCAAATTTAGATAGTTAAGTTACCAGTAACCTCCTCTATCGATGACCTAAAAATAATTTTTACGCCTCTTTAGGGGCGTGGCATATCGAAAAATACCCTGTAATTTTCACATTTTTTGAGGGTAAGCATTCAAACTTTGCAGGTTATTAGGTGTCTACGCCCAGTAGGGGCGTGGCAAATCGGGAAAAACTGCATTTTCTTCAGTATTAAAGCGAAACTTAGCTACTAAATTGCTGATGGGATGTGAATGAGTATTCCGCAGTCGGTAACCCTCGACTGCAACGTTCTTACTTGTTTTGATTTGTGTTTTGGTGCTCATTACATTGATTGAATTATTAAATTTGAAATGGATTGTTGGATAACCGCCGATGTGTTCTTTAAGTGGTTAAATCTTTACCTTTTGGCCATTTTTCGCTTGGGGACACAACGCATAAAACCTAACTGTAATTAAAAGTTGCAATTGCTTCAACTTTTTCTATGCGCTGTAAACTTTTGTCTTTGGCTCCTTTTATTTCGCCTGCTCCATAATGCCAGGGCGCTTATGAGCCAAAAGCGAGGCAAGAGAACAACACACAAAAAAAAAAAAGAGAGAAAAAGTTGGCTCAAACCGACCGTTTGCTGGGCTATTAATAAACGCTTGATGTGCTAATCGCCGAGCTGACCATAAGCTCACCGAATCGCTCCTCAGGCAGCTGTTGTTCCTGTGTGTTGGCCACCCCATTTGACATATTAGTTTCTTTATTGATATTTAGCAGATGGCGACAAGGCGAAAAAGGCTGCCAAAGTTTTCTACCCAGACGTGCTGGCGGTTTTTCCCCCAGCTCGTATATTGTTTTAAGGGCTAACTTTTCACATACAAGCTGAAAATTTAATTAGCCAAAGTCAACGCATTGGCCAACAGTTTGATGGCCCGGAAATGTGTCCGATACCACTCACTCGATGGGCATCAACTGTTACATTTATAATTTCAGTTTTCGGCCTTCGAAGGGTATTCACCAAGTCGACGTACAGCGCTTAATTATTAAATTGCCGTGTCCATTCGAAAAGTTTTTCGCCGCTTTGATAACAACGTGACCGACCATCTAACCGTCTAACGAACGGCAATTAATCTTCATATCCTTAATATAGCCACCACACACACACACATACACCGAGTTTATCAGGCGATGGATAAATTGTTAATGGTAATTCAAGTTGAAGTTGAAATTAATATGACTTCAAATGTAGACAAATAATAGTTTCTATTTCAAAAGCTAATTAGTTGCTTCTAAAAGATCTGCATTAAATCGTTATTGCATATTGTATAATACATCAATCGTAACTATATATTCTTGATCGGAAGCAACAACCGAGTTGATGTATATTTTAGCTTCTATGACATATGAGGAGGGAGACTTCTTTAAAGCGAGGACAGCTCCAATTTTTATGTCTTTTTTTTATAGACGACCTATTTTTATAGCGATTATTCATAGTGCTAGAGCTATTTAGATTCACTTAAACTTATACACTTATTATATTAGCTTATAATTTTTGATCCCATAGAAGACGAATATAATGTTAAATATTAAATACAGTCGAGTCTCGACAATTTCTAGACTATATCAAAAATCCCGATAAAGTGAAAAAAAATAGTATTCCCTTGAATGAAATTCGTTCTCAATAAGTCTCGATAATTAAAATTTCTGTGTTAATCGAGAAAACGGCCATTGCCATTTCCAATTATCGGGATTCAAGTGTATATAAAATACAACAATAAGTAATACCAAGCAGTAAGTAATACTAAGCAGGAAACAATTGTCAGGTATTCAGAGTTTCTTACATATAGATTCTTCTGGATAAGATAACGCAGTTACAAAGAAATTACTGCATATTTTTCAATATGTTACGTGCCTAAAGCATTATATACTAAATTTGAATGAAGGTCAGCCAATTTATACTTTTTCAGCTTGTAGCTCTAAAATCTTAGAAGTAGCCCTCCATGGACATGTTGAAGGTTTATACATTCCCAATTGCAATTCTCAATTACAAATTGAAGTTTTCAAAATATAACAGAATGTTTACAAAAAACTATATGGTCAGATCCGATCCTGCAACAGTTATAGCTGTATGCAAGGCACCCACATTAGGCGTAGATATACATAACTTTTTGATCTTGAGTATTTACCGAGTATAATTAAGTTCCGATAACTCGAAATGGCAAGGGGATAAGTGTTTTCTTTCGACTTACACAGAAGTTCAAATTATCGAGAATTATCGAGAACGATTTTGTTTTCAATTAATTAATTTCAATCAATTTAATTGTTTCAATTAATCGCGATTTTCGATTTAGCGGGGTACACTTTATCAAGTCTCGACTGTATTTCATATATTATGTCTCTAGTCTCTGGTTTGTGTTCGTACGGACAGATGGACGAACAGCAAGTTGGATATCGTAACCTTTATAATCTTTAAGTTCATGAGGGAGTATAATAATCTACAATGGCTCAGCTTTTTTAATTCAATTCAGATTTGTAAATAAAGTACGAGTTCCTTAGGATGTTGTAAAGTTATGGAAGCCTTTCGTGTTAACAAAGCAACGCCTTTTTCAGCTCCGGCTTCTTTGGCTTAGTTTGCAACGAAACTGTTCAGGTTGGCTCCAAAATTTATTAGAAGTGGGAATGTGTTCGGCCTGGGCACATGGCCAATGCTCTCTGTCTCTTTCACTCTGGCCATTAGCTGGTCGCACAAGGTGGCTAGCGAGTGTCAACGTTGTAATTGAATTTAATAAATTGCCTCATTATGTGAGTAGAAATTAAAAATTATGCGCCAACAGAGTCGACGCAGTCTGTGCCGAGCTCGTTATTATTGTTGGTTGTATGTTATGTTGGCTGTTGGCTGTTGGCATGTTGCATGTTGTTGCATTTGTTTTGCATTTTCTGCGGTCATTTGCTGGACTTTTGAGCTGGGGATTTGCAGCCCTGCAGCCCCCTGCGCCTCAGCGTATGCATTGCAACGGCTGCCGCGGCACATTTAAATGCATTCGGTGTGCGTGGCACATAAATTCAAAAGCGTTTAATGTTTGTTTTTACCGTCCCGCCATTTTATAATTTCGTCGTTTTTCGGCTCGTGTACTATTGCATTTTATTCCATTCGCCATGTTCCGAATGCGGCGCTTTCTGTTTGGCTCAGCAAATTAAATTACAAATGCTGTGCGTTTCGAAAATTTATTTATTTATTTATTTACTCGCCGGCCCAACAACAACACTCGAAATGTTTTTCGACTCGCTTTATTTAGACGGCAAATGCAACGTTTTAATTTCATTACATTTACTGCACAATATAATTATCTTTTCTTTTTTTTTTCTACCACTCAAATTGTTAAATTGAGTGCCTAGTTCAAGGGTAGAGGGAGGAAATTGCGTGTCTGACCTCAGTCTCCTAACCAATGCTATGCTCATCTTTTTTTTTTTTTTTTTTTTTTTTTTTTTTTTTTTTTTTTTTTTTTTTTTTTTTGCGTAAACATTGCGCGTCATTTAATTTTGTTGCTTTTAATTGGATTTGGTATGTAAATTAAATGTATTTCATTTGATTCGGTTTTACTACATTTGACAATATTTAGTTTTCAGATTTAGTTAGATATTCAATAAATACCCTCTTATCGGTTATTAGATAAAAATAAAAATTCTTTTATGCACACATACATACATACAAGGCATTGGTATGCAAGTATATTGGTATGTACGCGAGGGTTGTGTTCGTTAACATAGATAGCTTACATGAATTGGGTGTGTGCGTGCATGCATGTGTGTGTGTACGTGAAGATCGCTTGCATTGAGTCACATTGTGAGAGCGTGAAATGTAACTCTCTAAGCAATCTTCGTAAAAAGAGCATCGGACGAATAGGTCAACTACAAACGATCAACCGAAAACTAAAACGAAAAGAACCTGACTCCTGCTCAGAGCGAGTGAATAGGAATTTTTCGGCTGATCTCGTGAATAGAGCGTAAAGAATAAAGCGGTTGACAGTCATTTTCGAGCTGTGTCTATGGAGCATTATAAATTGCTTTTATATTTAAAAGGAATCAAGAAAGGAGGCTTAACAATTCACAGAATATAAGATTCGATCGTATAAAATAAAAATATGGATAAAGCTCCCATTCCAATATAGCTAAAAATATATTAAATATAGTCAAAAAAAAAAAAACAAAAAAAACACAAACACGGGCAAGTCAAAAGCGCTTCTCGCAAAATATTGTTTATATTTAAATTAAGAAGTGAGCAAAAAAACTATAAAGAGCAACACTTTCTATCTGTATGACAAATTATAAGAATATATTGAATATATACGAGTATATTTATTGAATATATTCTTATAATCGTTGCATATTATAAGAGCATTATGAAATTCGTTCAAGTTCTTTGCCTTGCGGCATTCATAAAGTTAACCGATAAATCTAATAAAAATCTAAGCAACTTTTCAATGCAAGAATTTCACACGAGATCCGCTTTTCAAGTTGACAAATCAACATCATCCGGCGGACAAACATGCTGTGCCCCGGACAACAGTCCGAGCGGAGTCCGTGCGGAGCTCGTGCGGCGTGTGGGCAACAGACGTTTTGCGGCAGTCACATAAATCAGTTTTTGTGGCAAAACTTGAAAAATATGTGCGCAAACAAATGGCAGCCAAGCGTGGGAGGAGGGCGAACAACTGAACAACTGAAAACTGCACCATGCAACAGTTAGAACATGGACATGGACAGGCAGGGGAAAGTGGACAGAAGGCAGAAGGCACAAGGCAAATGGCAGATGGCAGTAGGTAGACAGAGAGAGAGAGAGAGAGAGAGAGAGAGAGAGAGAGCAGCGCACACATGCAAATGCGCGAGGATATACCGACAAGGACACATATGCAGCACGTTGCAGGATTTCAGTTTAGGCTGGCGACAACCAAAACAACAAAAAATACGAGTAGGAACATAGCAGCTGGGGCAACCGACTGCATGATGCTCGTTCGCAATTCACCAGCAGCAAAATTTGCCAAAAAGTCTGTCAAAGAACCATACTGAACCGTAGTCACTGTGAATCTCTGTGATCCTGAGTCCAAAAACAGTGGAAAATGTTGAATAGTCCTTTATGATTTACTCCTAAGAAAAGTTTATTAATTAATTGTAGCCGATCTAAATCTTAGGTTTTAGTTTTGAGGCTCATTTAAATGTTTTGAGAGCATACCTGAAAAGTCTTCACAATATATAAGACTAATGAGCACATATTATAACTTTCCGATTCTCTAACTCCTATAGGACAGAGAAAGCGAGGCGAAAAGAGGCGAATAATGCACAAAAACTCCTTCCATTTCGCGACTGAAAAAGTCTATAAAAAAAAGAATAAACAAACACAAAAAACTAAAAAATTCGAAACTGTAGACTAAAAGAGAGCTACTAAGCCAGTAACGATCTAGTTCTTTAACTATGTTTGAAAAAGAAAGTGTTAAAAACTGTTAACATAGGCAAAATATAAATATAACAAATTTTAAAGTTTTATAATATACATAAGAATTGGAATTGAAGATTTGAAAATATTTAACTCGAAAGAGAAGCAGATAAACATTTATATTGGCTTTTGGCGAGCTTTTAATCGATAACAGCAAAACAGGAATANTTTTTTTTTTTTTTTTTTTGCATTTACAGTATTTTTAGCGTTATTTTTTGCCTGCTGACCAGCAACGAAGCAAAGCTGTCGCACTACTGGGAAATTTGCCTCTCCCAGGACTTTTGCCACATCAGCGTGTGTGCATGTATGTGTGTGTATGTATATGAGATAAGTGTAACCAACGTTTGTGTGTTTGTAAAGAAAAAAAAAAAATTGCAAAAAAAATATAGACAACGAGATTGCAAAAATTTCGTGAAACGGCTGCCACCGTTTTGGTCACGCCACGTCAAATTGCCAGAACACGCATGTGGTGCGTGTGAGGCGTGTTATTTGAGCATTTTACAACACTGAAGCGTGCTTAACGGCTTTTTGAAAGTGCTATCAGTGAGCGCAGCACAAACAAAACAAAAGAAAAAACACTTATTTAAGCAAAAAAAAGAAATTGTTGCAAAAAAATGAGATAGAAAAAATTTGTAGAGTCAGGCATACTGCAGCACTGTGTAAACATGAAACGCTTAGGCATACACACATATGCACTTAAGTGTCTGTACTATGTAATGGAATCTATGGGTATTATATGCGAAACACGAGACAGGTGGGCGGGTCATGCAAATTGCTAGTATAGACTGTGCGCCCAGCTGCTAAACTGTAGGTGAACAAAAATTTTGCCAAACTTAAATTAAATCTAAAAAAAAAAAAAACACTTTGTTGGCTGGGAAATGTGAAGAACATTTAAAGCAAACAAAATAAGAAACTTTTTTAAATCAGAAGAATATTTTGAATTTACATTCATGTAAATAACAAGTCAAATCGATTGAATACCAATATGACCATCGTCTATACAGCTCACATGGACACTTTTGGCCCCAGAGCGATGTGAAATAATATTTATCAACTACTATAAAGCAGCTGTCTGAACTCCGAAAATGCCAGCAGAGACGGCGACATTTGCATTGTCGTTCATTTTGTAGAGTTTCGGGCTCGTGCTGTGGACCGCCTATGGTCAACAACGAACTGAGAACTGAGACACACATAAATGAAATATCTGTGTGTGTGTGTGTGCGAGTGTGTGAGCTTGTCAGAGGTGTGAATGTGGGCAGCAGCGTTTGAAATGCAATTTTTAAAGCATAGTTTTATGGGCAGGCAGACTGGCAGCTTGGCAGCCTCACAGACAGGAAAGCCAGCTGACAGACAGAGCGAGTCCAATGTTTGTTTGCCTTAATAAAGTGCTTTGTGTGGAATTTAATTGTATGTTTGTTTGCTTTGCTGACTAAAACAAGGCCTAAACAGCTTTCGTCGGTCAGAACGGAGGGCTGCTAATACCTGGCAACAGTTTGTCTGGTAAATGAAATGAAATATGCAAGGGACATGTGTCCAAGTAGCGATGAGTTGTTCATGATACTAGAGACGGACGCCAGAGCAAATATTTCAATGTCAGCTAAGCTGACAAAGTTCATACAAGCACGCTTCACACACACACACATACATATACACATATATATGATTCACTTACCGACAACTTTGACAAAGCCATATTGGGTTTTAGCCGTCACCGTGTTGATTTGGCACATATAGCGTCCCATGTCCTCCTCCTGAACATTGTTAATGTGCAGGAACCAGGTGCGATGCTTATCGTGTTTATCGTGCGTCACGCTAATCCTTGGATTTCGCGTTATCACATGATTATGCACCGTCAAAATGGCCGACTGCTCAAAGTGCATCCACGCCACCTGCAACGAGGAAACCAATTTGAAATTCCATTCAAACTTAAATCGAATCAGAAGACTAGTTCTTAAAGCTCATTATTCGGGTAAATGTACATATATACATATTTATATATAAATATTCTTTTGTTGTATCAAATGTTCATTTAGAAGCAGTTGACAAATATGTCAGCCTTTTGCCTTTCCTACGTATATTGGCAAACTTCGCTTGGCCATCATCATCATCAATTTTTATGAAGGATTAACGAGAAACGACAATGTCGTCCTGGTCGCTTGGTCAAATTGCCAAAGTTCGCGTCACATGTGACGGCAGCTGCTGTCGTGCAAACTTTGCTGCCATCGTGTGTCATCAGGATGCGCAGCTTGTGCTAGTAGCTCCTATTCAGCTCCTCTGCTCCATTGCTTATGCAATAGTTTCGCATAAAACAATAACAACAACAGCAACAGCAACAATAATATATGCAAATTTAAGCGCACAGAACATTGGTAAAACGTGCTAAATGTAAAAAACATACGACACTCACGCTTCGATGCCATTTCAATGATAAATTTGCGCACACATTCACAAAGGCGAGTCAACAATAACATTTCGAGCAACCAAATACAGACGCATCAGAATGCTAAGGAACTGAAGAAGCTAGTTTAATCGATGTCAGGGGCGTATTCCTAAGGGGTAATCACTTGAATATCTATCAGAACAAGTGAGAAAACTCTAATCGAGACTGCTCGACTTTCAGATATTCTGAACAGATGGAGGAACTCATAATTGAATATTGCTTCGCGTGTATTTGCCAACGCACAAGGCTCTACTATTTGAAATAGAGTTTTAGAAAAATTTTGAGACAAGGGGATAGATTCATGAATATTTTTTGAATCCATTTCAAATTTTCAAATTTTTTTCTAGTTCTATAGATGTACATTTTACGTTTAAGTACTGATAAAGTTTTTAATCGAGTTGTAGGAATGTGATCATATTTTACATACTTTGAGGGGTCAGTGACCTTGAGGAATCAGTGACTTTGAGGGGTCAATGGGATGAGAGAGGGATCGGATAGCGGTTTGATAAGGAGGGGGCGACGGGAGATAGACTATTTTAATCATTTCTTTATTACCGGTGGGGGGTAAATTACAAAAAATTCGAAATTCTATAAAATACATATAAGTTTACATTTGAAATTAGGGAGCTCTAACTCTAAATGTGTAGGGAGATATAATAAAATAACCAATTTTCGGGAGTTCGGGAGCTGTTATCGATTTTTTTGTTAGACATGTGCCTAAGAAACAAATTTTCAAGACTCTAGCTCTTATTTCTGCTGAGATCGACGCGTTCATAAGGACGCGTCAGGAAGGACGGACGGAAGGACGAACAGGAAAACAGATTAATATGTAATATACAGATTAAGAATGTTAATAATACTAAAAGTATTTCATGGGGTCTGCCTGTCACATACCTATAAGACAAAACCCGGATTTCAATGGGTTTAGGGTATTAAAATATATATGTAGAAAGACATGTACAAGTATAAAAGTCAAATAGACCTAACGTTAATGGCAAACAGCATTGTTCTAATTATTTATTTACTCAAGGACTATCCTTCAACTGTTATGATTGATAGAGCGCTGTTACTACGCCCAAGGCGTAGTCGGTTCGACACCAACATCGAGCACTTTAGTTGATAAACTTTCAGAGCTATTCACCTATTATCCAGGCTCGCTGTGCTTCATGCTGAGCCAGTGGCCCTCTTTGGGGCCACCTCTGCCAGTTTAGTATACAAGAAGTGAGCTGGCGCCAATCCATGGGTAGCTTGGGAGCTTGAGCTGCTTACAGCATTGTGTCAGGCAGCATAGACAGATATCGGTTAATTTTTCAATGTCTGCAATGAAAACGTGCGACAAGCCCAGACGAGACATGGACCAAAGCCGGTCACAGCACGATGGCGATGGTGTTTATTTTCATTGGTTCCTCGTCTGACTCTTTGGCATCTCCAGTTGAATAAAAATGCAAGCAGCTGTAGTTTGCTTAAGTAGTTCGTTCGCAAAAGCGGCAACAACAACAAAGTCAAATATTAATGAAGCCACGTTTATCAGTCGTCTGAGCCCAGAATGGAACGAGCGCGCGGTAAAATCAATAAAATTGCATTAGCAAGCAGCTTGCCAAAGCGGTTCAAGTCAAAAAAGGTAAAAATGCGCAAACACACACACACACACACATCTGTCCGACATTTTAAAGTGTTAGCCACAAAATGTTGTGAAAATTCGCTGAATTTGCATTTCGCATTTCGTATTTTAGTAGTTTTTGAGGTCATTTGAATGAAATTAATTAGGCTCATGTAACGCCAGCGAAAAAGTTGAAAAGCCAAACAAAATGGCCGCCCTCTAATATTCAGCCAACCGCTCCCAGTTCAGCCACAAAGCTGTGCAGCATTTTGTGAGCCTGACTGTGGCTGGAGTGTGTGACATTTGGCTTAATAATTTTCGGTTGCAAAATGTCAGCGAAAGTCAAGGCAAAGTTGACTTTGCATTGTGTGCGTGTGTACGTGCGTGTGTGTGTGTGTTTGCGCTTTCCATTTGCTATTAAAATTGTACGCATATTTAAGCAAGTGTCCTGCCCAAAGATGAGTGCTGATCTCTTGGGCACCAACGATGTCCAGACGAATACTTCAGCACATCATCCCCATTTGGGCGTGGCCTCATTCAACTTCTGTCAATTGTGCACTCAAACTGCTTGTTAAATAGTAAACCAAATTGTCGACGCAATTATATATTCCAAATTACAAGGTCCTTAGTTCTTATAGACCGACGCGCGGACGGACAGACATGGTTAAGTCGGTTCAGCTTGTTTGTCCTGATCAAGAATATGTGAGTCAGTCATATATTTCAAAAAATCGATTAGTATATTTGTTTTACTGTTATCGATTAATAATCTTAAAATTATAATTATACCTTCTATAGCTTGAAGGCTAGACTTGCCTAAGTTAGACTCTCCCATGTGCTTTCATGTGTATTTTATACAATTCTAATTAAACCCTGAACCCATTAAAAATGGGAAGCCATTGAAAATGGAAAATCAGGGTATAATGGTTTTATTAAAAGTATGTAACAGGCAGAAGTAGGCATGGCAGACCCCACAAAGTATATATATTTTTGATTAGGGCGACGAGCTGAGTCGGTTTACCCCTGTCCGTCTGTCTCTCCGATCGTCCGTCCGTATGTATGAACGCGTCGATCTCAGAAGATATAAGAGCTAGAGACTTGAATTTTTTTCCTATCCGTGTCTGTGTATATCACGCACATATCGATATTTTTCTAAACATCGGTAACTACTCCCGATATTTTATTATCGATTAAAAACCTTTCAAAAGGTAGCTATATAATTATATCTCCAACAGCCTTGGAGCTAGAGCATCCAAATTTAAAAAGTAGACTTATATGTGTTTTATACAATTTCGGTTTTTGTTAAAATTTACCTCCCACCCCTATATTCACCCCCTCACCCTATTCTTTGTAAAAGGCGTATTTCAAATACTATAGATTTATGCTTTGGCAAATGCATGCATACCCATGATATTATCATAATCTAAACGTTTCATGAAGAAAGTACATTCACAAGAAAAGTTATTAAACAATTAAGTTCCTATAGTGTGTGCATGTGCGAATAATTATTGAAATATCAGTGGCTCGAAGGGTTCAGGGGATCACGTAGTCGAGCAGTCTCGCCTAGAGCTTTCTTAATTGTTTTTTCTTATATTTGGATACCGGTTCCAAGCCCACACCCTTACACCAAATTTCCGGAAAAAAGAAGTATTTTACTTATTCGACAAACACATTTAAATTCAAAGAAGCAAAGAATTGTTTAAATGTCTGTTTTTTAGGGCATCTCGTAGTCAAAGAGTCTCGGTTAGAGTTTTCATACTTCTTTATATCTGCATGAGTCAGTTGTAATGATCGCTCTAACCACACTCATTGTCGTCGCTATAACCATACTCAGATTCAGTTGAAGCAAATGGCCGTAATCTTATCACTAAAGCAGTTTTCCTTGTGAACGTTAGTATTTCTCAATGATATCCAAGAAGGTTACATCGCGATGTCAGTTCATCCGATCATCAGCTGATTCTATTTTAGTCCTAACAACGACGAAATAAAATTCTTCGGCAACTTATCAACTTGGGCTAATTGAACCAATTCGTACTCCTTATTTGTTCCGCCCCTCTTCTTAATTGATATCTTTGCCTCGGCATCTCCGTTGATTCCAAAAAGAGGGGGTATTAAGCTCCACATTTAAGCTCCACATTTAACTTCACTTTAGGCTTCAACTACGCTAGATGAACTGTGGACTGCACTGCACTGAATAATTCAATGAACAAATGCAGCAAGGCATTATCTAAATTGAAAACGACCTTTACGAGCGTTCTATGTAGTCACGATTTAGATAAAGTAATCAATGCTGTAAACGGTTACACAAGATGCAAAAGTAGTTTCCACACTTTTGACTATACATTATTAAGAGACTAATAATTATTTGCCCACATTGTATGCAAATTTAAAAACGTGTTAATCGAAACTAAATTAGGAATGAATGAATAAGTAAACATAATCTGTTCTTCCAGATCCAATCGTCGATTGTTATATGATTAAAATTTGTCAATTTCCAATTCTTTCACTCGAAGTGGCTTTTCCGATTCCTTAATTATGATTAAATCAGTAGAGAAATACGAATATTCAAAGTTATTTTCGTAGTTCCCAAATTGAGTCTTAAAAAGCGCATCCATTTTCGATAAGACATATTTTTCATCTTTTGAATGCAGCATGATTAGATATTATGGGTTCGCACTAATTTCACATTTATTGGTTTACACACTAAATTAGTTGGATTGTACAGCTAGTGCTCCATAAAGCAAAATAAAAATAATCCAGTTCCAGCTTATATTATTTTTACTTGTAAACATTCTGTATGTATACTAAGCACCAAGCATTAAGGAATACACTTATATAGTTTTATTCAACTGTTATTTGTTACGCTGTTTCCCAATTCAATAAGCTAAAGCTAATTTAATATGAGGAACAAATCAGTAAAAGTGTTCTCTATCTTATTAAAATTGTCGACAATAATAATATTTTTTCTACATCATTCAAGATAACCAAATAGAACGTTAACTTTTTTTTCGTGTTAGTGCCCATGTCCAAAGTATAAATAAAAATTGTATAAAATATACATTAATCTAAACGAGAGAGTCTGAGATGATCATCACCAAAGATAATTTTTGCTACGGCTTTAGTTGAGGCTTAAAAAGTTTCGTATCTCTTTCTGGTTAAGTTTGCAAGGGAAGAGATAAACAAATTGTATTTGCAATTATGCAAAATGTTATTTGTCGATGGGTATTTTATATAATAATCCATAGTCGCTAAGAGACTACCTAATATTACTTGTGTTATGGGCGGTTGAAGTTGAAAAATAAAAAAAAAACGAATATTAATGTTAGACACTGTATATATTATTGTTGGATATTTGGAAGATACCGATCTAGCTAAATTAAAACGCCCCCGGTTTGACCTTTTGTTGTTAACCCCAGGATATATTTTAAGCTTCAGCCGTACGCACGATAATATTTTTCTCATTTCAAGGCACTAACTGAATGCAGCGAGTTGATTGAATAAAGAAAGGTTGCGGTTACATATTTAACTTTTACATTCAACGCTTATCCTCTGCCAAAAGTAACATATAAAACGTCCAACTCGCAATAGTCGCAATAGTCCGAAATGTTGCTGTCCTGGTTGCCTTTGCTGCCCTGGTTGATGCTGCTGCTATTGCTGTTGCTGTTGCTGTTGCTGCTGCTGGTACCATTATTGTTGCTGTTGCTGGTATGGTTGTTGTTGGTATGGTTGTTGTTGTGGTTGATGTTGGTGTTGCTGTTGTGGTTGGTGTTGCTGTTGTGGTTATTGCCGTTGTTGTTGTGGTTGTTGCCATTGTTGTAGTTGTTGCCATTATTATTGTTGCCATTGTTGTTGTTGCCGTTGTTATTGTTGCTGTTGTGATTGCTGATGAAGTTGTTATTAGGGTTGTTACCGTTGCCTTGACCGTTGGAATTCGATACAAATGGGCAAGGCTTGCTTGATTGGTCTAAGACCTTTTGCTTAGCTGAGTTTTTCTTTGTATATGCTCTTTTGATGGCTAACTTCTGTTTTTCATAAAACCTCAGGCATTTTTTGTGTGATTGAACTGATTCCATTTCAAACTCTATGTCACTCACGCGGTCATCCAGCTGTCCCTCCAGATCCAATCGTCGATGGTTATATGCTTGAAATCTGTCGATAGCGAGTTCTTTCGCGGGGATTGGCTTACTCGAGTTCCTAATTATAATTAAGTCACTCAAGAAGTCTGAATACTCATAGTTGTTTTTGAAATGCCCGACTTGGTCCTTAGTCAGCAAATCCATTTTCGCAATGACATATTCCTCACCCTTTGTACGCTGCAAAATGAAATTATTTAATGAGTTCGCACTAATGTGAGATTCATTTGTTTACACACTAAATTTGCTCGATATGTTCGGCTTTTAGATTGTACAGCCAGTGTTCCATAAAGSAAAATAATAATAATCCAGCTCCAGCTCGTTTTAGTTTCACTTGCAGACATTATCTAAGTATACTAAACACCGTACGCTGAGGAATATTATTATATGAATTTATTTAAGTGCAACTGTGCCACTATTCCCCAATCGAATCAATTGAAGCTAATTTAAATTGAGGAACAAATCAATTTTAGACTCACAAATTGGTTAAGATAAATATGTATGAATATATTTATTTGCACATATTGCTTGTGAAATATTAATAAAAAGAAACATTATTGTTAGCTCTCCCGAGTAGGAGACACCCCAAAGTCCGAATGACCTAGGTTTTTATATAGGCGAATTGAGGCGTTTATTGATACGGGAATGATATTTACAACAATTTAGAGCGTGCAATCAAGCCTGAACCGTGTTTAAGTACATCATCTATTTATAATACTGATCAACCGTTTATAATAAAACAAATCTGTTAACAGCTGAAAGGGTAAATTTTAATATATATTTGATATATTCTGCACAAAATGTGTTCGAAAATATATTTTGAATAATATTTTGTATATATGCCCAATCATTGCGTTATCAGATTGTAATCTTCAGATAATGTCATCAGAATTAGTAATCGTAGTCGTCGTAGTAGGAATCGTAGTAGGAGTCGCTCTCATCAACATCTACTACAGAGGCTGGGCAGGGCTCGCTATTTTCAAGCAAGCTTCTTTCCTTCTGAGCGTTGGTATCTGTTAATGCCGCTTCGATTTTGATTTTCTGATTGTAGTAGAATCTTATGCAATCAACACTTATTGCAGATGTGTGTATTTCTTTCTCGAGCTCCTTTGCACGGCATTCAATGTTACGCTCTAGCTCCAATCGTCGATTATTATATTTTTGAAAATTCTTATAGAATTTTTCCTTTTGGTCGGCGTTTTCTGCTGGTAAAATCTTAATTAATTCTAATTGCTCGACAAAATCCTCATATTCTTTATTATTTTGGAAGTGGCCGAGTGGATTTTTGATAGCCTGATCAATTTTTGCAATCACTTCTGTGTCATTCTGAAAAATAGGTCATATTGTGAGTTCCTAGAAATTTCACATAAATTATTTTACAAACTGCTTTCTCTCCGTTCGCATAAGTGTGCATTTCAGCAAATATGCCAATTACTAATACAGTTAAGATCAGCTTCCTGTTCATTTTTAGTATACGTTTAGTCAACAGCTGAGTGAACTAAAGACTGTGTGCAGAGGTATAGGTTTATATATGCTCTAGTTTAGTTATTATTCGATATAATTAGTTAAGACTCATTTCAAAGTTCTAGAAAACAAATTTACAGCTGTCGATCGTGTCTACATGTCTGCTGATATATGTACTTTGTAAAAGAAGAGATATAGTCACCAATGCCTGACTAAGAGATACCATATAGTTCTCCATAGAAAAATGTCTCCAGGCAACATATTTGCAGCACATTTATTTTCTTGAGATATATCATAATAAATTACTCATTGAATGACTTCGGCTCCAGATCTACATTTTTATTTACAAGGCGTAATTTTGATAGCCCAATGTCTAACATTTAAATAAGTACTTTTCTTTCAGTGTATTCATTTCAGAAGCTTTCAGCTTCAATTGAGCAGATGGACGATCAAGCGAACATGGCTAGATCAATTTTCCTCAACGCCCAAATCGAGAATGTATATACATATTTACTTTTGCTAGGGACTTCTTATAGGAACAATATATGTTGAATTCGCATTTAAAATATGTGCTGGGTATTTGAATATTCAATTTATTTTTCCACGAATTCAGTGTCACGGCTAAAGCGCGCACTGATAATATAAGCCAATAGACGAGACAGAAAATATCCAATCGCAATTTGCTTAATAGCTCAACCCTTTGGGCCTGATATTGCAAATGAAGCCATACATTTTTTATCTGAAACTAAAGCACAAAATAGTAAATCCAAAAAGATTGAAAAAAATAAAAAATAACTTTCAAGTAGAGCGAAAACCAACAAACATTTTCTCATGTTTATGCTTGTTTCCGGCGTTCAACGAAAGCAAGCCGAAGCACAAGAGCAACAAGCCACACTCGGCTGGTTGTTGTTATCTCTGGGTGTTTGTGTAGGTGCTGAAAATTGAAATACAAACAAGCCCATAACATAACAGACTAAGAGCCGACAGTTTTGGAAACTCTCTGGAAACAAATGGCATCGCAGTACTCGAAATATTAACAACTTAACGTGCAAACCTGTTAAGACAGCGGCGCAGAACTACGCAAGTTAATTTACACGCAGCTTAAATATTTGTACGCCTCGAAGAGCAGCAGTTGAAAGGAATTACAAAAATATATATATTTATATAATTTACCATTCGCAAGTCGAAGTGGCAATGCACTTCCGGAACCCACAGCAGAACAATTTGWGCCTAGCAAATAAAATTCAATAAAATTATAAAGTAAGAAAGTTTCAGTTTGGTTCGACGGACTGACCAACAATTGTTAAGCTGATTCTTTTTGTTATTTTTTTTCCTTTCTTAACAACTCAGAAATTTTTGATGGCAAAAGCCCCAATTCGGTTCCTTGGAAATTACCTTTCCTCAATTGAATATTCTTTTATTTAACTTATTTTAAACATCTGTATTTTGCAAATTACCACCTTCTTATAAGTGAACTATAAATATTATTGTAAAGCCCAACACGACTCTACCATGGAGATTCTAGCTTAAAGGTTTAGTTTTCTGAAAAATTTAGATATAATGATTTTAATTAAATATTATAGATATATTTCATTTCATTAACCATGAACAACAAATAATTTTAAATCTCAGTTGGTCGGGTTTTATTCTGGATTTGACCAAGAAAGAAAACTAGCTAAATCACTGTGAAGTGATCAACAGCAAAGTACTGTATATAGAATTATAAAAGAAACAGATTTTCGACGAATTCGACGACGATCTGAAGATTTATATACACGAAGTATACGTGCATATGGATTGTGTATGTATATATAAATTCTAGATAAAGATATATGGCAATAATTCTATACTATGCTATAT